TTTTCATTGATTTTTACTGCTATGTATATACACTAAGTCTGTTTTCAACATTAGTTTACATATAATTTGACTAAACTAAAATTCATGTGCAGCACCTGGGTAGATGAATATCCATCTTCATTTGAAGCTGATAATTGGTATCTAGGCAATTTAATATTTGTTGCATCTCTAATTATTAAAAGAAATTAAACTTTTTTTAATATCATAATGTTAGTCATTATATGTTTTAAAATTTCTGTAAATTTTTGACTAATGCTTTATTAGTTGTTTGCAGTTTATCTGTGAGGTGCTTTACAATGCACATGCTTTTTTTAAATATAGAACAATAATGATATTTAGTAATCAACAAAAATAATTATTATTATCAAATTAGAAAATTATAGTGTATTTAAAGGTAAAATTTGAAAGGTATATGAAACCATAAATGGAAGCTAAGAAGCTCAGTCTTCTAGACTTTGTTGCTGGTTTTGTATCTGAGTTATCATTCGGCTCTCCAATATTGAGTAACTCTAAAGCAGTGATTTGAAGTTCCTCTTTTGTGGGTGTACTCATTTTTTTCTTTTATCCTTTTTTAATAGAAAATAAATGTCTCTAGGGAACATCAGCTCTTTTTCCTCTGTCATACCTTGGAGTATAATGTTTTTGTTCGAAGGACCAGCAGTTTCAAGTTCAGAAAAGCTGCCATTCTGGACATGTACTGCATCCAGTGTTGGTTGTATTATATTGAACAGTCTCTTTATTATGTGATACTGAACATAATTTCTTATTGAACATGTCTGTCAAAATGGTGTCATGTTGAAATAAAAAGTTTTCATTCATAGTCTGAACTCTCAGTTTTAGAGGTACTAGGTGCATGTTTTCCTAATTCTGATGGCATTATATCCTATCTCAATAGTAGTAAGTTTGTCATCAATATATGTCATAAGTTTATCATTTATAATCAATACTGAATCATTATGACCATCAGATTTTTTTCTCTCTACTGACTTATGGAATGGATATGCTAAAATATATTCCATTTTATACTTCCATCTATGTATGTATATTCGTGAATACATGCATTGCAGTCAGTACAAGTAAGTTGGCAAGTGCAATGGTTTTCTTTTTGCTTGACCATATAGATTTCAGAAAAATCACTTGATAAAACTTGTCAGCTTCTTTCATTTTCAGTAATTGAATAGAATTCAGTTAGGGTTAGCTTGTGTCGTTTCCTTAGATTTTGCAATTTGGTACAAAGTTTGCCTTTGTTCAAAATAATCAGTCTATCAACCAACTTATATCTAATAAATCTCATTATTATTGGAATTGACTTCTCCAAGCATTTTACTATTTTGCCAATTAAGTAATGCTATTTAATTATCTTATGCATTCATTCCAAATGCTATCTGTATTTACACCACGCTGCATTCAATAGCAAAATGGATACGATGTAAGGTTTTTTGCATAATACCTTTCAAAATATTGCCAAAGGCATTTCTATCGATATCAGTAAGGAGCTTCATGGATCCCCGCTTCTAACAATTTTGTGAATGACAGTGTCTCTATCAAGTTCGGAGGATTTTATACATTTATTTTTCTTTATGTTTTATTTTTTTTAATTGGGTCTTCCAGGCTCTATCAGTATGCCAACTTTAATGAAGCCTTTTCTTTTAAATTGGCATGATATGGCACCAACCACTGAAAAACTGTTTGCCATATCTGACATGAACATGTCAGGGTGAATGTTTCCACATAGTGAAAAAAACAGTGCCATCACCATTTCAGTGCCATTTGACCATTTCTGCTATGTATGCAGAAAGCACATGGAAACCCTTGAAGAGGGTTATCAAATATGAGAAGTGTGATAAATTCATACCATGGGTTCCATCGATCTTTTATAAATCTCTGTAGCATCTAAACCTGAACTTCAGTCATACTTACCAGAACAAAGTCTTCAGAGTGAATGTCACATTGTTGTTCTTGCAGTTTGTAAAACACATGAGAATTTTCAATATGCTGCATAGCATTTCATACTTACCACATCATTTGTGTGTCTTACATATCCTAAACTGAATTGAATTTCAGTATTATATAAATCATGCTGTGTAACTAGATTCATCTGTGTTTGATCTTTTGCAATAGAATCACGAATTTCATTTAAAATCCTTTTGAAAGGATTACCAGCAGCGATCTGAGAAGCTAAATACACTCCATCTTCCTTGAAAAGAATCATATTTCCAACTACATTTTTATGACCAACATGAGTTTTTAGGTGCTGAACACACTATTTCCATCAGGTTTGCTAGAAAAAACACTTTTTTTTTTTTTTTTTTTTTTTTTTTTTTTTTTAACCCTTCTAGATTTAAATGTCTAATACCACCTGCCTTATGGTACATACACACGCAAACAATGAAACACAAAAAAGCAGTGGATATTTGAATTTCTTTTTGTGCAACATGTTCAACCATAAAACTGCATTTTATCTCGGTTTTAATGACATGCAATATATTCTTGAAAACAAGAGAAGTGTACGTCGTTAGTTACAATACATATATCATGAAAGTTTTCAAAATGTGTCATTAATTCTGCCTGTGTAGATGTAAAATCATATAATGGGTGCTTCTGCTTGCAGCTGTAAGTTTTACCATCTTCGTGGGTTTAAGTGTATAGCTTTTACAATGTTCTGTATGTTCATGTGCACAAAGCAGGTTTTGTTTTGAAAAAAACTTTCATATTCGTCACATGTGAATTTGCAAGCAATTCTTTATGTATGAGCTAATTCTTCTAATTTCGAAGGATAACACGTAGTAATATGTGTCTATCAATTTTGTCGGAATGAATAGAATTTCTAACATTCCAAGCATAAAAAATTACCTTTCATACTAATCACGCTAAATACGGAGCAATTCAGTTACCAAGCAGTGGCAGGTAGTCAACCCATATAGTAAATTCTCGTAAGCTTTGATTAATAAAATCATGCATATCATTTTATTTATTTCTAAGACGTAATGCATAGTCACCTGTATTATAAGAGCTGTTCAAAATGGTGTCCATTTGCTTGCAAGTATTTCTGGCATCTTTTCATGAGATTAGCATTCAGACAAAAACGCTCTTTGTTCAAAATGTTTTGAATTTCTGTTCAAATGTTGTCTTTGAGTTCATGGATAGTGTGGGGGTTGTTTCGATAGACTCTGCTTTTTAGGATTCTCCACAGGGGGTTATTCTTTAGGCTTTCATACGCATTAGCTGGTAGAAAGATGTTTACCACTCTGACCATCTAGGCATTGGCTGGCACAAAGATGTTTGAAATGCACTGTATAAGAAATAAGTAAACTGATAATTCAGGGTTAACTTCTGCAATGTAACAACAATGTTTCTACAATGTTTGATCTTTTGCAATAGAATCACGAATTTCATTTAAAATCCTTTTGAAAGGATTACCAGCAGCGATCTGAGAAGCTAAATACACTCTATCTTCCTTGAAAAGAATCATATTTCCAATTTAATTTTTATGACCAACATGAGTTTTTAGGTACTGAACACACTATTTTCCATCAGGTTTGCTAGGAAAAACGCATTTATTTTTTTTTACCCTTGGAGATTTAAATGTCTAATACCACTGCCTTCTGGTACATAAACACGTAAACAATGAAACACAAAAAAAGCAGTGGGTGTTTGAATTTCTTTTTGTGCAACATGTTCAATCATAAAACTGCATTTTATCTCGGTTTTAATGACATGCAATATATTCTTGAAAACAAGAGAACTGTACGTCGTTAGTTACAATACATATATCATGAAAGTTTTCAAAATGTGTCATTAATTCTGCCTTTGTAGAAGTAAAATCACATAATGAGTGCTTCTGCTTGCAGCTTTAAGTTTTACCATCTTATGTGGGTTCAAGTGTGTAGCTTTTACAATGTTCTGTATGTTCATGTGCACAAAGCAGGTTTTGTTTTGAAAAAAACTTTCATATTCATCACATGTGAATTTGCAAGCAATTCTTAATGTATGAGCTAATTCCTCTAATTTCGAAGGATAACACATAGTAATATGTGTCTATCAATTTTGTCAGAATGAATAGAATTTCTAACATTCCAAGAATAAAAAATTACCTTTCATACTAATAATGCTAAATACAGAGCAATTCAGTTACCAAGCAGTGGCAGGTAGTCAACCCATGTAGTAAATTCTCGTAAGCTTTGATTAATAAAATCATGCATATCCTTTTATTTATTTCTAAGACGTAATGCATAGTCATCTGTATTATAAGAGCTGTTCAAAATGGTGTGCATTTGCTTGCAAGTATTTCTGGTATCTTTTCATGAAATTAGCATTCAGACACAAAAGCTCTTTCTTCAAAATGTTTTGAATTTCTGTTCAAATGTTGTCTTTGAGTTCATGGATAGTGTGGGGGTCGTTTCGATAGACTCTGTTTTTTAGGATTCTCCACAGGGGGTTATTCTTCAGGCTTTCATACGCATTGGCTGGTAGAAAGAGGTTTACCAGTCTGACCATCTAGGCATTGGCTGGCACAAAGATGTTTGAAATACATTGTATAAGAAATAAGTAAACTGATAATTCAGGGTTAACTTCTGCAGTGTAACAACCTAATTTATTAGCCACTATTTTAAATATGCAATTAACATATTAATGCAATGTACGTCCAGAAAGTAAGTTCCGTTTGGTAATAAAAGTAAATTGTATACAGCTACAGAAAAGTTATTTATTGCACAAAATTCAACAACTCTTAAACTACTTTTCCACATAACTGCCGAAATATTGCAGGCATTTGTCATAGCGTGGCACAAGTTTTTGTATACCTTCTTCATAGAAATTTGCCACCTGTGTCTTCAACCAGTTGGAAACAGTTTCTTTTAGCTCGTCGACATTGTTGAAGTGTTGACCGCCAAGGAAAGACTTAAGATGTAAGAACAGATGAAAGTCGCTAGGAGCGAGGTCAGGGCTGTACGGAGGATGGTCAAACACGTCCCAGCCAAATCCCTGTAGGAGGTTTTTCGTCACATTTGCAGTGTGTGGTCGTGTGTGTCGTGAAGAAAAACAACACCTTTTGACAGCAATCCTCTGCGCTTATTCTGTATTGCGCGGCGCAATTTCCGAAGTGTCTCGCAATAAGCATCTGCTCTGATTGTTTGACCATGCGGTAAGAAATCAATGAATAAGATGCCTTTCCAGTCCCAGAGCACCGGGCACATCATTTTTCGAGGTGTCAAGATTTGCTTCGGCTTAACCTTTGCTGGGGATGAAGTGTGCCTCCATTCCATTGATTGCCGCTTACTTTCAGGGGTGTTGTAAGAAACCCAAGTTTCATCTCCTGTGACTATCTGTGTCAGAAATTCTTCCCCGCTTTCAGCATAACGGGTCAAAAACTGAAGTGCACTACCCATCCGTTTTGTTTTGTGTTGCTCAGTAAGAATCTTTCGTACCCAACGTGAGCAAAGTTTACGAAATTTCAGTTTTTCGGTAACAATTTCATGCATTAGTGATCGTGAAATTTGGGGAAATTCCATAGCGAGAGCACTAATTGTAAACCTTCGGTTTTCATGGATCTTGTCATCAATCGTGTGAACCAGTTCTTCTGTAACCAAAGATGGGACGCCCACTTCGTTCTTCATCGTGCACATCACTACGTCCGTCATTGAACTTTCGGGCCCATCTTCTCACCATTGAATCACTCATCGCTTTTGGTCCGTAAACATCGCAAATTTGCCGATAAATTTCACTAGGTTTCACTTTCCTCGCATTCAGAAAACGAATCACACATCTGATTTTACAATCGGCGGGATTTTCAATCAACACCGACATTGTAAACAAGCATGACAAAGCGTACGTGACTGACAGCGATCTCCAAATGGCACGCGTTTCTTCTCCTTGATACAGAGCGTCTACTGCGCATGTGCGGAACTGCGATCACAGAGCTGCAGTGGAGATAAATTGAAACGGAACTTACTTTCTGGATGTGCCTCGTACATTATGATCTAACATTTTTATATCTGTTTCTAATACATAAGAGAAAAATTTTTTTTAATTGTTATGAAATTATTGTTTTTAGGAATCTTAAAGAATAAGAGTTTAAATAGTGCAGATTTAGAGCTCTGAGCATTATGTGCATCATTACAGATGTTCAAAGGCTAAAACTCGTAGGCTAAATCTTAGCAAATCTTGAATTATTCCAATGGAAATAATGAAACTGTTGATAAAGCTATACATCAAATCAAAAATTATGATTTTGTCAGTTTTTTAATAAAGGAAAAAGATATAGACATGAATATTATAAAATATATTTCAAAAACACATCAAAGCAACATAACTCTCATTAAGAAAACAGTTTTGTACTAGTGTAAAATTTCAAAACCTGCAATGGCTGAATAAAAATAATGTTCATCACATATGCCCACAATACTAACTAGAATGAAATATATACAAAGTATTAGACTGATATGCACATAAAATTAGACAAGAAAGCATGCTTATTTAGTATATCCTATATACAGCAACTAGACATTTTTATCCATATGCATCTTCACCCACATACAACATTAACCAGAATGACCTGTGTATAAAATTCTAATTTAGACTAATTTAAGAAACATTATAAATAAAGCTTTATAATCAGTGGTTATAAACTGTAGGCATTAACAATGTCTGAGGTTTCAACACAATGAATGTACACTTAGCATGCTGTATCTGAATGTAAACTAAGTTTACATGGCAAATCCAAATAAAAAATTTACACAAACTTTTATATTCTTTGAATATATTTAGATTCAATTAATATGAGCCAAGTATACAGCAATTTAGAAGGTATTACTGACACATTCAAGCTTATTCCATGAGGATTCTGAGAGTCATATCACTAGAAATAGGGAGCAGTAAATTGCTTGAAATGTAAAAATGCGTTTTTCATGTCCCAAAAGTGCGACTTATGATATATATTAGATTTATATATAGCATTGTTCTAATATAGGTATTTTGATACAAAAGTCAGACTGTTTCTGAAATAGCATGCCAATTTTTTTCCATATTTCGATTCTATGACTCAAATTATGCCTGAATACTAAATTTTGTAAAAAAACGGTGTGAAATTTATGGAGAAATTAAAAGATTTATCTTGGCGATTTTTTTTTTCAGGTTGTGCCAAGAATAATTCACTTGTCGAACTTCTTAATTTACAACAACCTGCTTTCTTTCCCTTTTTTTTTTTTTTTTTTTTCTTTCATTATACATGAGAGGAAAAAAAGTAATTGTTCATATTTTCAAATAATTTTAACAAAGTGCTTAAACTACATTTGGCATTATTATCGCTTATAACATATATGCCAAATTTCAAAACACACCAATAAGTAAATTCATATATATCTTAGAAAATTTTGAATAAAAAACTCAATTTTTTTAAATTTTGCATAGAAATACATCTACTTTAAGATGATGTTAAAAATTTTTTAGGTTACAAATACAAACTTTTTTTTCGAAAAATTTATAAAAAAATATTTAGAAATACAAATTTTTAACATAAATCGTAAAGCAAGTGTGAATTATATTTGGATTAAGCCTAAAATTTCAAATTCTGGAAGAAGGAATCAAGTAAGTTTAATGGAAAAAAATATTAATAAATATATATATCAAATTCAATTCACTTTGAGAGCTAATTTTTTAAAAAAACTACTCATGTGATTCTTACAAAACTTGGCAAATTGGCATGTCTTTTCAGAAAAAGTGTGATTTTTGTTTCAAAATACCTATGTTAGAACAATACTATATATAAATCTAATACATATCCCAAGTCATGCTTTCAAGATATGAAAAACGCAAGTTGAATTTCGTCTTTTGGCTCAGTAGATCGGGAGATATAGAACTGTCTCTTTTTCTTTTGTACCGTGTACATTCTTTCTTCTCATCTTTGTTAAAATATTTTTTCATTTTGATATTTTGGAAGAATAGGAATATCATCCAGACATAACAAATTTACAAATCGGATCCTCAGATAGAATAATGCACCTCTGTCTAAATTTTGAATTAGCGATTACAACAAAGATGTTGATTATGCTAATTGCAAACTCTTGCAAATCATCACAATCAGTATTGTCTTCAGTTGCATGTATTAAATATCTCGCTATTATAACTCATGATAGTTGCTCTCATACTGAAATGAAGAAAATGGGTAATTAATTCTGGTCCATTGAAATGGATTCCGTGCACAGGAATGTGCGCTTTTGAAGTAAGTTCAGCTTCGTATGTTCTCATAATTCTTAAAAAAAAAGTGTTCTTGTTTCAGCAAATGTGTATTTTTATTTAATTATTTCTAATTAATGACAAATTGATTTATATGTACAAAACGAATTGCAGAATGTGTGTGTATAGTCAATACACCAAAACCGACTTATGAAGTCAGTTCTGATGTGATTTTTTTTTTATTGTTATTATCGTGAAAGGATAAAGTTTCAAGAATTATATTTTACATTTGATTTCAATTTTGTGTGTAATTATAACTGTGAAATGCACTTTTTATTTAAATTTTAATGTGGAATTCATGGTTTAAAACCACGTTATTTTTTTACCCTGGTATATTGTCACCAAATCTGTCAGTTGAGCCCCAACGTAAAAAAAGTGTAAACATTGGATAATGCAATTAAAAATAAGCATTATATAATGTTTCATTTAAAGGTAACATAAATATATCATATTTATATTCATTTTGAAGAAGGTAAGCATCAATTTAAGTATTTAACAAATAATTTTGTTGTATCAAGTTTATTTTTGTGTGATCTTTATCATGTAGATGAAGATTACAGCTCTTTTATTTAACTGCAATTCCTGTCAGTTTGTTTCCAGTGTATGAACATCAAATATTTTTTTAATGCTGTACAGGCTTAGTCACTCATTCTTAATTCAGTTGTCATATCAGAATTAAAATTTATGAGACCATTGCTTTCTTAATGTGTAATTAAAATAATTTAATAATATATGTTACTGTAATTTAATGCTTTCAGAAATTTGCTAAATCAAGTTTATTTTTGTGTGACCTTGCATCAAAGGCGCCAATAATAAATTTGTTTTGGCATTCACTGCTAAAATTTTTAATGAAAAATTTATTACTCATGTAAAACAATGAAAAAATTATATTTACTTGGTAATCAGTGTCTTATGATATTGCAATAACTTAAAGGGCTTCTATTGTTTCTTAAATTGCATAACTTGTTTTCATAACTTCTTGTCATCTTTGTGTTTTATTCTTCTGTAATATCAAATAAATATAAAAGTTATAATTCTAATCAAATATTCTTCCTTTCATAGCAGTGTTATGTACCATGATGTGATGTGTGTTGTCATTTATTATATAGTTATGAACATTGTTCATTATAGAGTTTAATGTACTATTTATTATATATATTTAAATTTATATCATTATGTATTATAAAGTTTTCCTTTTAGAATATATTACATTATAATTTTTGAGTTGTTAATAGAGCTGTAGTGTACATTTTTCTTTTGCTTTAAAGCGTCTTTTGAATCACTTTTTTTTTCAGTAGGCATACAAAACTTACTTGACCTACATTTTTCACATGTTAATGTGATTTATGTGATTGGAATGTGTCTTCGAGGTTGGCTGTTTAAAACAGCTAACCTAAAAGACACAACCTGTTTGTTGAAAACAGCCTGTTATCATAAAGAAATTGAACTAAAATGATACCTTTTGAAGACTTTTCATAGATAAAACTTTGAAACAATAGTGCTGAAAAGCCAAAGAAGGCACACTAAACCTGAATTGCCACCCTAAAGAACGGTTATGCCATAGCTGACGAATCGGACGAGTCAGCCTGCATCTCTAGGAGCTCTATCATTGGTTACTTCAAAAACAGCATGACTTCCAACCACGTGATAAACAACATCGCGCATCAAGTAACCTCTGGCAACCCTTACGAGTTCGACTGGTAGGGAAGTGTTTCAATTGAATACGAAAAATCGCTCATTTTCAAAAGTGATCGCTAATGCTGGATGTAATGATTGCTGTTTCAGTGATCATCGGTGTTTTAATTGAATGGGGCCTTAAATTGTTACTGGACGACACGGAAGAAAAAATATTGATGGAGATCTGACCCTTCTTTAATGAAACAGTACCCAGTGTGAGACAGCTACATATTTGGGAGTTCGTTTTAACAGCTCTCTTACATAGGAACCTCACATCTTCATGGCCTGTTGAGAATCGAGCATTTAATTAATATTATATGCAGTTTCAGTGTCATCATTGTTTTATTGTTTTATGCATCTGGCATCACTGATATTTTTGTCATTCTAAAAATTTGTCGCCCACCAGCGGCCGAGCGGTAAAGTCGCTGAACACTGGTAGTTCGGTCCGAGGTTCGAATCCCGCGAACGGGCTGGCTGCATGGGCGTTTTCGTGGTTTTCCCCGTGTGTAACGTATATACGAGCCAGTTTCCCTTAGAAAGTCCTCCACGAAGGCATCCCTCCCCTTAGGCAGATAGCCCTCGAGGCTTTGCCATAATCACACACACACACACACTTAAAATTTGTCATGTAAACAGTAAGACGTACGTAAGTTCTCTCTACTTTTTTTGTTAATAAAGTCTAAAATCCAATTAGCCATCACTCTGT